TTTTTTTTTTTACATTTAACACTGTTTTGGATTAGGAGTTAGGCTGTTTATATTGCATTTATTGTTGTTTTTTTAAATCCCGAGTGTCTTGTTTACACTTAAATAATGCATCTTTAAAAACAATCAAACTCAACTTTGTGTCATAATCAGACACCGATAACAAGATATTGATATTGTGCATCGCTATGGTGTTGACGCTGCTGTTTTGTTAATTTAAAGTGAAGTTAGAAGCAATACTAAGTCTTGTCTGCTAGTTCAGACATTTGTCTGTCAGTGTTTGTCCAATGCGAGATGTGATGGAGGGGTTCAAGGAAAGAAGAAACTCTAAAACTCTTGGAAGTTTTTCGATGTCAAAAGGTGATAAACCTCGTGTAAACATGAAGGAATATTAGAAACCCCTCAAATCTAAAACATGATGATTATTCTTTGCATTTATTAATTAACTTACAGGATCTCCAGTGGAGCCCTGGCACAGTACTCCTGTAAAAAAGGTTGGTTGGTTGTTTTTTAAATTGTTTTATGTAAAGTATCGGTCATTAATGGATAGTGAAGAGCCATCATGCATAGGGACTCATTCAATACTATTTAAAAGCATCTCAGGATGCAACTCATGAGGTTGGTTGAGAGAGTGTACAGAGCTGGAATAAATTGCATGCTAACTTTGAAGAAGCTAAAAATAATATTATAGTATTTATTTGGTAGACATTTTTAGTCCATTTGTGCTATTTCATACTTACGATGAATTTATGATGGTCCTAAAATGTGGAAATCAGATGTCTAGTGAGAGAATTCTGACTGATGGCTAATCTTTTTAAAAATAATCATTCAAAATAACTAAAAAGTAATGTTTTCTCTCCACTTTTATTATAAATCTTACATTTTCTATTTAAACATATTGAATACTTATTACACTTTGAATGTGTATTGTGTTGCACTTCTGTTTGCATAGTTTATATATGGCACATTGTTGATTGTATCTGTATTGTGATGTGTTCATGTTCCTTTGTATTTATTGTAATCTTGTTTTTAGGTCGAGCAGTTATTTCAAATTGAACTTAACACTTATTGGTGAATAAAAGATTTGATTCTGAGTTAATGATACTCAATCCTTCAGAATCTTTTTGCTGCTAATGAGGCGCCAGATGTTTCCTCCACCAAACTCAGAGATGAAGACAGAACAAGGCCTGCAAGACTGAGTCTACACGACCTCTCAAAACCAATGTCCTCTTTCTCATTAACACAGGATTTCCAGGTA